AATATATATTATATTATATTATAATATAATATAGTCGTAATTTTTAATTATCCATAGCAATTTAATCTCATAATTTATCAAACGCTATTGCATTGATTTTGGAACCAGCACAGCTACTATAATTATAGTTTACCAAACACTCAGCTGCTTTTTGTAATAGCTGCTTCTTCCTTCAGCACAACTAAAAACAATTTTTCTAAAATCTGCATCACTACAAAACTAAGCCTTACTATCATTTGTAAAAATTTTGTCGTTGACATTGGAATGGTTGGCTTTTTTCATTACTCATCTGTCGTTCGTAAGAGATTTTGTCGTTTTATTGACATTGTGGTTTTCTTAACACCAGTAAAACAAAGCACATGCAATGCACGTGCTAGTTATAATAGGGCATGAATTTAATCATTATATTTATTATTTATTAGAAAAATAATTTTATAAGGTAGACAAATAAGTTCTAAATAATTGTAAAACTCTATTAATTATAGTTTAAAAGATATAGAGAGTTACGAAAAAGGGGTATAATAACTTTAAAATGTTATAAGTAATGGTGAATATTTTATTTGTTACTTAAAAAACATAGTACAAGAAAAAGATAATTAATTTGTATGACAATGTTCTACATAAAATGCATCTATATCATTAAAAACAAGTTATGAAACAGAAACTTAATGCAAATAAATTTTTAATTTCTTATTAATATGAGGTTTTAGTCTAAATAAAATGATAAAATCATCATTTTATCATGTAATAAAAATATTATTATTTAATTTGACCATTTTCTCGCAGCCTTAAGTAAGAGAAAAAAGTAAATAAACTAACAAAATATTGCTTAGTTTTTTATGGGCGACGGTTCAAAAGTCACGTTCGACACGTAATACAATTATTATTAAATATAACCACTTTTTCTTAAGTTCTAAATAAAAGAAAACTGTATATATCAAGTAAAAAAAAGTACAAAAAGTGAAGGACTGAAAACAAAAAATAAATCGTTATTTCTTAAGTTATAAAATAGAGAAAATAATGGATAACAAGAAAATAAAAAGTACTGAAGGTAAAGGGTATAAAAGAAAACACAAATTGAACCGCTCTTTTTAAGCCCTAAGTAATAGAAAAGAGTAGACAACAAGTAAGGAAAAAATAAAAAAGGTGAAGGGTATCAATAGAAATAAAAATTACACAGCAATTTTTTGAACCCTAAGTAAGATAAAAGAGTAGATAACTAATAAATAAATAGTACAAAAGGTGAAGGGTGGAAATACAAATTAACCCTTTTTTCTTAAACATAAGTAGAAAAAATAAATAAATAATAAGTAAGTAAAAAGTATAAAAAGTAAAGAGTATAAATGAGAAAAAAAAAATTGATCGATTGCTCCCTGCTACATCACATTTTTATTATATAATAGATATCGTGGGTCGTGCATGGCTACAGGAAAATATTTACGTTTCAGTATGTTAGTCTCACTTAGGCATTGCCGTTTTATTGATGTATTGTCATTTTTATTGTCGTTTTCATGTAGTTATTGGTTGTACAATGTCATGTCGTTTTTAATTTACTGTCGTTTTATGTTGCTGCGTTTACATAACGATTGTCCTTTTATGAAATTTGTGTCATTTGCTGGATATTTTCCACTTATAATAATCTTTTGTCGTTTTATGTCATTGTTGCTGGATATATATTTTCTTTATGATATTTGGTCGTTGACTTTAAAAAGAAAAATTGCCTAAATTTAATCTTTCCATTCTTGAAGGACCATGTGCGCAGTCACAAAGCTAAAATTTTTTGTGAGGGGCCTAATAATTACAACAATAATTTAAAGGATATAAAATTATAGTTTTAATTTTTTAGAGGGGCCTTTGTTTAATTTTCTGAAGATATTTTTATGTAGATATAAAGAAAAAAAAAAAAGAAAGAAAAAAAAAAGTTGAGGGGCGCTTGAGTCTCCCCTGATCAGTATATGGCTACGTCCCTACATGTGCGGCTTAATAAAGATTAATTTTGGACACCATTATTAAAATAAAACCATGTCTTTTTTTTTGTCAAAATTTCAACATTCGGATAAATAGGTAGTATGTTAAAACATCTTTTAATTGTTTAAGAACTCCTTTTGAAACGTTTTAAAAGTTAAAAATTAAAATGAAATTTGGCTATAGTTTAGAAGTCCTTCTATTTCATTTTCATTTTCATTTTCTTTCCTTTTTTTAAAAGGAAAGATATGTTCATTTTCTACAATCTAAGGTTTTGTCTAACTTCTGTAGTTTTTTAAATCCGTTGTCGCTTTTTTGTAAAGCTGTCGTTTCATCATTTTATGACGTGTTTTTGTGTCTTGACTTTGTCGTTTTATCTCACTGTTGTCTCTCGAACTTTCCTCGTCCTTAATAGTTTATAACTTCATATGATATGTTGTCCTTTTCAAGTTGTTGTCGTATTTAGATTATTTGTCCTTTTTTATATTTTTGATAAACTTTGTCGTTTGTCAAAAGTACCGGTTAGTCCCTTAATCTTATCCAAATATACGCGTCTTTCTTGCACCGAAAGTTTGAACAAAAAATCAAATTTTTTTCCTTCGAAAGGTTTGAATTGTGATTCAAATCTACGAACAAAACACCACAACAATATTTGCCTCCAGACTTTTTGAAATCCAAAATGTATCCCTTGAATTTTTGAGTTAGAAAACAACTATAATATCATCTGAGATAATGCAGTACTTAAAGCTATTGAGTTTGATGCTTATTTTGAACCATTAAACACTTTGATAAAAGCATTTGTGAGTAACAATGTTGAGATTATTATGCACATGGATTTTATCCAATGTTCCTCTGAAACTGTTTTGCATCACCAGTGTCGTTCCTATTAATACAGCTGGCCAAGAAACTTACAGTTACCGTACAACTTATTTTTCTCAACTATAACTGTAAATACATCTTTACAGTAGCTACATATATATTAGACATTTCTGCCTAGAAAATTACCGAGTTTTTTTTTTTTTTTTTTTTACACCCTTTGAAGATTGCTCATGGTTTCATCTTCTTTATGTTGGTCTTTCACAATCTTGTTATCTTCTTCCATCTTTTCATCAGTCACAGGCTGGAATTGAGCCAAGTCCGCGAGCTCTTCGACAGCGCTGACAATGCGTTCAATCCGCACAGCGATTTCAGTAAGCAAAGAAGCCAAAGTCACTAGAGGAATCACCTCCATGAGAGGAGGGACCGAGGCTGCTTCAGTGGAGTTATCCTCAGTACTTTTCTTGTCTTGAGGTTGAGGATTTTTGGATTCGGGCAATGGCTGTGGAGTGAACAAACTAGGAAGAGATTGTATGTCGTTTTGGAGATCCTGAACTGCACTGTTCATTTGTTCAACAAGGAAATCTATGCTTGATGATCTCTTCATTGTCTTGATAATACTTGCAAGCTCTTTTATGACACCTGAAGAGTTGGAGCTCAATTCTAAGTCGCTCTTCTTCAGGTTATCTGGGGCCTTTTTTGTAATCAAAGGAGTCATTTTAGTTTCACATTTTATGGGATAATTGTAACTGAGAACCAGAGTACAAGATTTAAGAAATTTGGTTACCTTATTCTCAGAGTTGATGCAACCATTTAGAGCCTCAATGCAATAAGCACAACTTCGCATTTCTGCCCCAATTTTCACATATTGTTGCCATGGATGCCGGAAATTGAAGCGGCCATGTGCAGGCTCCCACCTAGCGAAATTCGCCTACGTAAGACAATTTCCTCATTCATTCAGTCTCAAGTAAAAAATGGATGAAGTCATTGTTGTTAACATTGTTGTTCTTTTAAATAGCCCTTATGGTTCATAGGTTTGAACTGAAATTCAAATTTTTGTAAATGGTTTAGATGGTGGTTAAACCTACGAACGAGGAGTGAGTTTTTTTTTTTTTTTTTTTTTTTAAGTATAGTTGTCAAATTAGTGTTTTTATCTACCATAGATTCTTCTGATGCTTTTGAACTTAGCACACATTTGTATCCCAACAAGTTTTTGTCAGATCCTTTTTTGCCACCGGTAGAGTCTTCTTCACTGATGCTGAAGTACTCGGCTACACAACCTGAAATAGTAGAAGTGAGAAATAAATTAATGTTGACAAGATTGTCATGATTATAGCTATTGGTTTTGACTCTGAGAAAAAGGAATTTACCATCTAGGGAACTAGCAAGCTTGTCCATGTTACGTGTGATCGTCGAATAGAGCTCCTGGCCAGCCCAAATGGGGCAAATAAACATGCTTATAAAAATGCACAAGGAAGTCCCAATGATGATGGTTGATAATCTTTGTTGTGCCAGATGGAATAATTCATCGATTCGGTAATCCGAAATGGAGACCAAGCTGAAGGTGAGGACAAAGGTCATAGCACCATAATCAAACCGGCTTTTCACTGATGGGATAAATCTAGAGAAGGTTGCTGCAGAAGCTGAAAGAAAGCCAACCATAACACAACAATGAATTTTTCTATCTTCCCATCTGAGAGAAACAAATAAAACAGTTCACGAATAAGCTTTTACAAATTACCAAAAATAAACATCGAAAGGCCCATGATAATGTGCTCATAAATCTCCCCCGATTGCTTAGCAGCAAAGTGGACTCCAACTGCAATAGATCCAGCTATAAAGGTTGCAGATATTCTGTTCAAACACTTGTAAAGTGTTGCACCTGCAATACATGAATTAAAATGATCCGCATCATTAAAAAAAATAATCTCATACTTACTTGTTAAGGGTAAAAAGGCTGAGACAAAACAGTCATTTCGGTTTTTTAGAAGTTACAGAATTTTGACACGTGCGCATTCATGATGTTCATGACAAAAAATTTTCACAATGTCTATAATTGTCCAGACAATAAATATTAAATCTCAGGAAAATTGACCCTTTTTTCACATTGCTGGTAAGAACTTGAAAAGTCAAGACGTTAACATATGAATAGTTCTAACTGATTTATGAATGACTTTGAATAACTTACCTACTATGTTCTCAAAGACTACCACAACTGTCATAACTCCCCACATAGCATTTCCTCCAACACCATCATACAGAGGCCTTATATAATAAAAGAGTGAGACAGCAGTGAGAGCCAGCCCTACTTTCATGCCATGTACCGCTTTTCTCGGGTCATTGCTGGCCACATCCCAAGCTTTCTTCAGGAAATTCGACAGCTTCATAACGATCCCAATAATCAGAGCCTTTAGAACAAGCAACACTTTAGTGATAGGGCCTTCCTTTGGACTTAAAACTTTTGATGAGACATCACTGACCCTTATTCTCCACTCCCATCCACTGGCTGCTTCTTTCTCTGGAGCCATTTTGGAACTGCTTAGAAACAGTTTCTAACTGTCTGTATATACAAGTTAAAAAGGTGTTGTGAAATGGCTAAAGCTTTGGGGTATGCAAAAACATGGGTGACTATTGAAGTATATATACAATATGGGATCTCAGTCTCATAGTGGTATCTAATAAATAAAATAAGAAAATCAGAGAAAAGCAAAATGTTATGGTGAGTCAAGGAGTAACTTTTTTCGTTTCCTTTTTTTCTATTTAACTTTTTGGGTAGGTATAGAACACAAGCGACCTAAAACTTTCATCATCATTTGTCTCATCGTACTACATACATTTATATTGTGTTGTGTCCATTAGGAGGGCATAAACACTGCAAGTTTATTCTTTTAATTCCTACAAATATTTTAGCTTCAATATCAAAATTCTCATTTTGATTCACAACAAGAAAAAAGCACAAGGCTTGCTTCTGATAACTGCCATCAGGAGCTGGGCGGCCGTCCCACCTGAATTTTTTTTTTCTTTTTAATTTTGTATATGAAATTCTATAAAACTTGTTTTTTGCCATCTTATACATCTTTATATTTTTTTCCCCTACCTCATTAGTTAGTATACGCCCCCGCCCCCTGACTAATTTCTAGCTTCATCTCTGCTTGCCATGTGTTATGTTGATCATTTGAGGGTTTGTCCACTTGGATTATTTTTGAGTTATAGGAACCTATACAATGCTAGTTTTTGATTTAGAAACATGTTTGACGATGCACTTAATTTGAACATCACAATCATAACAGTTTCATCATTCACTTCCAATGCAATTCAGCAAAGACAAATGATCCAAAACTATTCCTTAAAATTTCTTAGCCACCAATTTGGAGGCTGTTTATTCTAATGACCTAAAACCAAACTTCTCCCACAACAAGTGACACAAATATCTGGCCTAAAATCAAAAGCTCAAAGACATCACCGCACTATGATTCAAGCCACCAGAAACATATTTTTCCCATGTGAGTGTACTAAACTGTGCATCTTTTTCCTTGAGTGGATTTTTGTGTAAGAATCCTGTCATCTATTTCCCAGATAAGATTATTAGGAAAGAGAGCATAATAAAATATAACAAAGTGGTAATAGTGCCATTGTGCCTAGTGATGCATGGACTTCCAATGATCTTAAATGAACACACATTTCAGCTTTTGCCTAATATTTTTTCTGTTATGATAAGCTAAGCCCACTTATATTGCATATTTCTCAATGATGTTGAAAGCTGTAAATAAGATATTTGTCCTAATATACAAACTCCATATCCCAAGTGCTTATATCTTTAGACCAAATCTCTTTTACAGAGATAACCTTGCACAAAACCCTTGGTGTCGTTTCAAAACTCTCTAAAAACTAAAGTGGGCACCCAATAAGTGGTTTAAAAAAAAAAAATTGTATGCGTCACTTCTTAAAATGGAATGCAAGGCAAAATTAGGTCATGAATAGGACAATCCAATCAAAAGTCTCTATTTATATTTTTATATTTATTTTTATCATATAAAATTTGGGATGCATGAGACAAAAACAAGGCTGTCATCATTTCAATGGGAAGGGCACTTATCTTCATCACACTGAAAGCTCTTGACAGCTGCATGCATGGACTGAGAAGCTAATTGAACTATCAAAAAGTAGATGTACTCTACTAAATTCCTTTTGTACTATATCTCTAACTTTCATTTGTGATAGAACCCGGTATGTGGTTTGCTTAAGAAAGTATAGTTTTTTGACTTTACAAGCAACCGTTTCTGTCTCTATTAACTAAAACTAATTGGGAAAAAAGTGATTTACAAATATATTTCTGTTCTCTCTCGATTTACAAAGTGATTTACAAATATGTTATAAAGTATTTGGACCAAGGACCAATGAGTGAAATAATAAGTGGACGCTTGGTTCGTGAATTCATAATTATAATTTAAAATTATTTTCGTTTTACGTGTAAATACTGTAAAGAATTATGAATCATGATTCAAAATTAAAGACGAATACATAAAACAAACGTGGGATAAGACAAATAGGGTCAAATACGTAACTCTTAATCACTAATAGAGGTAGAGCTGTCAATTGAATCGGGTGAAACGGCACTTGGGCTAGACCGAGCACAGTATGAAGGGTGGACTAAGCTCACGTTTTGAGTCCAACCACAGCACAAGAACAGTTTAAACATGACAAGACTTTTTATGTACACGACGAGCATGATTCTTAAATTTTGTAATATGTCTAAAGAGCGACATAAGCACAAACATGACACAACACCGGTATAAGATACCCGTGTTCATTCCAAACTTAATTATTGTTAGTATTATTTTTTTGGATTGGCATGAGCATGATAAATTTTAATAGGCTAGGTTGAGCCAAGCATGGAATGATGCCAATTTTGTTAGATTAGGCTTAAGCCCAAAGGCTTAAAATTGGCAAAGCGCAATGTCCATGATTTAAGTTCATAAAATTGTACGGACTAAATTTAGTTAAGTGGCTAAATGGTAGTCAAATAAAATAAATGGTCAAAAATTGGCCAATTTTTAACCACAAATTTTTCGTGGCCACGGTTCATTCATGGAGCTTATATAAAGGGGCTTGGAGGAAGAGCTTAAGCATCACATTCTCACCCTTCAAAAAGAATTCTCATAGTGTGAGTGAAATTTTGGGTGCGTTTAGAATTGGTTTCAAAATAATTTTATTTTCAATAAAAAGTAAAAATGAGATTGTTTTGAGAATCAATCTGGGGCCAATTTAAAAATTGCGTTTGGTTAGTTTTTTTAAGAGATTTTTTTGAGTATAATAAAAAAGTGAAATCGTGTTTATTAATTAATATATTATAATATTGTTGATAAGTAGTAACAAATTAAAACAAAAAAGTGAAAACAACTTTCAACTGTTTTCAAATTCCTTCACAAAAATCATTCTCACTATTTTCGTTTTCAAAACAATTGCTAAACAAACGTCGTTTCGTTTTCATTTTCATTTTTTGCTTCTCGAAATATGTAAACCGTTTTTAAAGACGGTTCCAAACACGCACTTAGTTTCTCTAGTTTTTTTCTTTCTCCGAGTAATTTAGAGAGAAAGTTGTAATCTCCATTTTTCATAATGAAATCTTTTTACACGTGTCTCGTAGTTTTTACCCCGTCTCTTTTGGGGGGTTTTCCACGTAAAATACTATGTGTCCATATTATCTTTATTTTTACTCATTTATTATTTTATCGCCAAATTTATCAATAAATTTAGACCTAAATAATTATAGACCATACCAGCATGACACGATATGACACAATAGATGAGTAGTGCTATCTTATTTTTCCATTTAGCTCCAATTTTTGACATCTGTAATTCCTAAACTTATAAATTTCTTTTTGCTTGCAACTTGTGATGGACGATGCAAACAAACACCATTTAATTATAAGTTTAGTGATACTAGATTGTGATGTGAAACACTCCCATGAAGATATTATCCTTTGTTTGTTGTCTTGGTAAGTGGCATGATATGTAGTATTATCAAAACAAATTCTTCGGCCGACTTAATTTAGGTTGGTCATACTTTATGACCTCAAATCCCATGTAACAAATCAAACCGCCAATTCAGTTTTCCATAACGTAATCAAAACATGCACTAGAGGTTTCGATCTACTTTTTGGTGGCATTTATTCCTTTGTTGATGGATGCATGGCAATTTGGAGTCTCCCCTTTGTTTATTTACGCAACTGTTTAGTATTTTATTCGTTTTTTTAGCATATGACTCTCTCGTTTGCAAAATTAGGGAGCAAACGACAATGAATTTTATGTAAAGATTAGACATTGAGGAACTTATGTTATGTGGAGTCTAATTACTTTGCACATTTTTCTTGTTGACCGCGATTAGACCAAAATCTCGTGCTACGAAAGATTTTTAGGGCAAATGTTTTTTAATAGAGACAAATATTAGAATTTTTTTTTCTAATCAAAAAGGAGAAAATATATTAGATTTATAGACATTTTGAGACTAGATTGTACTGTGCTTTATTCTCTAATTATTGTAATATTTTCCGGACTCTTATATTGAGAGTGAATAACTATAAATCACGTAATATTTTGCTCTCTATCTCGTTTTCTTATTACTTTTGAATGGAATGAATTAGACCCTTATTTGTTTTATAAATTTGAATTACTGTTAGAACCTTTTTGTTACAGTGTTTTTTCTCACAAAATTTAAATTTATGTTCAAACTTAGGGGCCTATGAACCAAACGGCCCTAAGTTTTATTTTTTATTTTTTATTTTTTTCAATATCATTCTTTTATCTCTGCGTACCTTCACAGTTAATTCCTTAGTTTTAGCAAAATATCTCTTTACCTAATAGTCGTTATGAAATCATTTTGAGTGCATGATGACCAACGTATATAAGATTTACAGTTTGGTACGATAGGAATCCATGAAGGTTATTGCTACAAAGGTGATCAGTTTTAGAAGAATAAAAGGATTTGAAAAGGGGTTTTCTTCTTTAAATGATAGATTTAGTGCTAATTATCTAATATTATCTTGAATCCATAACCTAAGAAGCTGAAGTAAGCAGCAGCAATAATGAGAATAAAGAAGAAAATAATGGAACATAAAATATTGTTCATGCAGTAAAATAACAAGTACGTATAGATTTGGAAAATGCTATATTTAATTAAGTTTTAGATTATATTCAAAAGCAAGTGGGCATGCTTCTAATCTAAAATCTTAACTGTGAAAGAAGAGAAAAAGAGGTTGAGACTCGTTACACATTGCTTTTAGGCAATAGAAGAATGGAGGTAAGAAATGTGGTTTTTCAATTAATATCTGGAACCACATTTTCGAAACAGCTTAAATAAAAAAAAAATTAAATTAAATCTTCTAATAGTAAAACTTTAATGGAAGTTTCAAAGTCTTATTAGAAGAGTTTTTTTTTTTAAATTATCCAAACACTTTTAAGAGCAGTTTTTAGACACATGAAGCCAAAAACAACTTTCGGAAAGCAATCCCAAAACAGACAAAACAACCGTTTAATGGATTTCGTTTTTCAGCTGATAAACCAATGCAGAGACGACTTCTAATCTAGCTTTTCAATCCTGTTATTAAGTTTTTGGTTTCTGCATACTGTAAACATACATTAACATTAGAATTCTGAAAAGATATGGACAATGGGTTGGAGAGAGGGAAAGAGAGAGATTCTATTATAATTAGTCTGGTATATATCATTATCAAACAAAAACATATATAAACGCCATGAAACAACAAATGAGCTGTTAGCCTATGACTAAGTTGTTTAACACCTTTCTGAATATAAACAGGTTATGACAGGAGTAACCTAATAATAGGTAACGAAGCTAATGCAAAACCTTCAAAAAGGAATGAAAACAGAAGATAATTAGCTCACAAAACCTCCATATGCTATCTTTTCCCTCTTATAAGGGTCCAATCTGATGCCCTCAAACTATCCACCAAAACTTGTATTTATGATTCTCTTTCTGTTTCTTGTACAGCCTTTTTTCAGTGGGAACTAGTGCACACTTCAGAATGGTCATCTTCTTTTCTCTGACTTTTTTTTTTCCCAGTCTAAATAACCAAAATGCACATTTCAGTCCCACCTACAAGATAATGGCTATGGAATGGAAAAGACTTTTTTTTCCTCTTTGTTTGTGAAGGCTCTTCCATGCGAGAACACCCATCATGGCAGGCTCTCTTCGGCGCTGAATGCTCAAGGTATCCCTCAAAACCTAATGTAAACACCCCGAATCCCATCAGTGAAGCGTTTCTGTCAAGCAGATCGGAGGTGGTAAGTTCGGCTTTTGGTAACTGTCCAGTTGAGGAATCCCACCATCTAAAATAACATTACTTGGCTGATTAGTTGAATCAATCCCATTAGTACTTGTTTGCTGTAGAAGCCGGACAAGTGACCAAAATATGTCAATTCTTGTCACATGACTCTTTGCCTGCAACAAAAGAAAAGGAGATCAATATAGGAAAGTTTTTGATATACCAAACTTCTTTTAAGGAAGTAGAAATGTGAAGCAGCCCTATGAAGAGGAATCTAGACTTTCTTAACTCAAGCTTACCTCAACAATAAAATGCGCCCATATCTTGTTCTCTCGGAGTTCCATCATTCCTTTCAATATACTTAACCCGAATCCTCGAATTATGTCTGCTATTTCAAGAAAGAATCCTTGCTCCTCACAAAGCATCTGCACGAGCAAATTATGACTGAATTTAGGAGCTAATTAAGATTAACAAAAGGCTTGGAGTTTTTTTATTATTTTTCTTTCCTTTTCTTTGTTATATAACTTTACATTACCTCAATAAGCATTTGGCCAGGTGGATTTAGGTCTTCAACTATAATTGGGCAAACCATTGATTGACCCCCAACTTCAAAAGCCCATGTAGCTCCACCACCACCACTACTTTTGTTGTCTCTTAGAGGCACGCCATTCTCATTGCCGATTAGCTGAAGTTGATTAAAAATTTTGTATTTGTATTAGTGAATCATAAACATCAAATCCAATCGGGTTTACGGTTGACAAATCAATATGGGACCAAAACAATTGGTTACCTTAGGCTCATTGGACTGTCTAAGCTTGTCTCCATGCTTTGTCACCCCTTGCAGGAAAACCATGTACTTGATGGTCCGGTCTAACAAAGAATCAATGCTACACTGTTTCATCAAAGCAAAAAATAGATGTCAAAAGCTTTTCGAGCGAAATAAGGGAATAAATATCTCTGAACTCCATAGTTTCATACTTTCATGCATGTTTCTCTTAAAGCAAAGACCGAAAGAAAGTACCTTGCCACCATTAGGAATGATCCCCCTTAACTCTTTGATACGATCTTGGATCAGCTGACGATCCTTGGGCCTCGGTCGAGTACTCTCCCCTGGCCTTGCCCTTTTCCTCGTAATCTTCTTTTGCTCCTCAGGCTTCTGTGTTTGTGATAGAACCGCACTTGCAGCAGTAAGGCTGTAGCTATCATCAATCCACAAACCGACCTGAGATTTTGGAAGTTCTTTCTTGGTCATAAGATTGTCTGCCTTGTCCAGGTTATACTGCAACAAACTCATCTGAGATTGGCTACATTTGACAGATGAACTTTCTATGCGCCGTCTCTTAGCGGGGGTTGATGACTGATCTTCAAAACTTGATTTCGTCAAACAACTAGAACTGCTTGCACCAACCAAAAGCTCTTCAAGTCCTAACTCTGAGAATAACCCTTTCTTGGGACCAGACATGGATGTAGTAGCATTTGACGCCAAGACACACTTTCCAGATGCGGAACTTGTAGTGGGGCAGTTATTACCAGCCATTAACGGCATCAAAATATCTTCCCAGCTCTCTTTAGTTTGATCACAACCAACATTAAGTTTCTGAGAATGAAACATGTCTTTTTTAGCTGGATTTTGTTCAATGGCCATATCACCTCCAACAAGACATGAAGATGTTGAAGTGCTTTCAACTAACTGTGTCAGCTCACCACTCAGTGCATTTACCATCTGGCCGATGTTCTGATCTGGTGAGGAAGCAAACCACTGGGAAAGATCATCCCCCTGGCAGAAATTAAAGAGATCAGTTGTGAAATCGGCCGATTTAAACTCCTCAAATAACTCGGGAAACCTTTCCAAGCTATTAGCTTGTTCCGAAACTCCACTTTGTGTGGCAAAAACTGAGGGCACAGAATGCTGGTTGCCGGTCAGATTCCTCGAGCTGGCTTGAAGATTTCTTTCTGTCTCGGTCAATGCTCCCATGCTATACTCCATGACATCATGTTCTGTGTTTCTGCAAGATTCAAGTGAATTTCCTTTCCAAAGAATTACATCCGGAGAAACTTGAAGTCTTGATTCCGACGCCGAATTGTGGTTGTGTGAAGCCAAAGTGGGATATTCAGTATTAGAGGCATTGTTAACAGAACAGGTAGATCGTAGAAGCGCCTGCTCGAAATTCATGTTTGAAAACTCCATTCTTCCACTGTGAACATCAGATGTGGAAGGAGATGATTGACTAGAATTCATTGCAGAACAATTGTTTCCTTGCATCTCATTGTAGTCAAAACCAGAAAGTGGAATGGCCCTGTTATTCGAAATTAAGGAAGCAAACAACCCGTTTATGTCATACATTTCACCTTCTTCAGATGAATGTGCATTTTCCAAATGGTTAAGCGCAGAGAGATTTTCGATATCCCGAAATAGCCTTGTTGTCTGATCAACAAATTCAAAATTTTCACAAATCTGCAACAGCAATGGCAGGCATAAGTATCTAAGCAGTTCAATCACATGGCATCCATCAAGTGGCTAGCACACTTTTTAGGTTTACATGTTTTCCTTCCAAAAATAAACGAATAAAATAGTTACAAGTACATAGAAATGATCTAACCTTCTCAGTAGATCCAAATTGTACTACTCCTCTTGGTTCTATTGGTATTGCTGCAATTGTCTGCAAAATGAATTTATTTATGAATACATATGTCTTGTATATGAAATGTTTACCATAAGAATTATGAGAAAATATATTTCACATGCTAATCTGATTTTTGGTAATCAAAAAATTCTTTTAGAGTGAAAATGGTACCTTTATTCCAGAGGAAAACTGAAAGGAGACGTCAGAATCGTCCTGTAGAGCGAAAGGAAATTTCCAGAAAAAGAAACAGAATTAGTATTTAAGAAACTCAACAAATGAGATTTCAACTTAAAAGTTGGTAAACTGGAAAAAGTGGAAAAATACCTGAAATGTCTCTCTAATTTCACTAGATCTAACGGAATCCCATTCCCCACTTTGATCATCCTCAAGAATCCATCGGTGCTTCCCACTTAAAGCAGCTTGGCCAATTGTTCTACATTACACATTTACAACAAGACCATCATTAACCCTTCATCATTTTCCGCCAATGCATTCGATTTCAAACATTCAGTTTTGATAATCTTATTGGCAAATTGTGATTAAAAAAAAAACTTTCTCAAACAAAAATTATGATTAATGCAAAAAAAAAAAAAAAAAAAAAAGATGACTTTCTAAGTGAATGACTAAAATGGAGCATACCCTTCTCCAAGCAAGTGGACCATGAGAAGCATATTGTCAAGCACTGCCCCAACTTGGTCTTCATAGTAGGCATCTTCCACAGTCAACAACCTAAGAGCATTCCAAAGGTCACATTTCACACTTAGCTAAAGCAACAAACATATTTACAAAGCTTAATTGTTTTTACAAATCTTGATCTTATAGAGTAAAAAACAAAAAGTAGAAAGAAAAAAAAAAAAGAAAAGTAGGCAATTTGTTTGTTTTTTGTGACTGGAATCCATAAAAGTTGAGGGTTTTCTGACCATGCTTAGGGAAGTAAAAGAGAAGAGAATGCTTGAAAATAAAAATTATTCTTTTTTCATTCTTTTTGGCCATTAAAGCATTTCATTCACTCGTTTTAGTTTGGATTTTCTTAAGAAATATGTATATTTGCTTCCAAAGGAAAGTTGAAAAATTCAAGTTAAAAGACAATTAATCAACAACCAAAGTAGAACAAAGAGAAAGCTGTGATGTAAACATGGAGAGATAGAGAGAGAGAGAGAGAGAGAACTTACATGGGATTTCTGTGATCAAAGCGCCAGAAAACGGCATAAGACCAAGCATTACTAACACAAAGACTCTTGAGCGTCCTCTTAATCACAGAAGCGTTAATCTCTGCTTCACCCATTTCACCAAAACCAACTCTTCTTCAAACTCAAACGACAATTATCCCAACAACAAAAAAATCACTCTTAACGACACACCACTTTGATCAAAAAAGGAAAGAAGTTCACTCTCCAAACTTCAAATGCCACAAACTCAAAAGACCCAGTTCTTCTTTTCCTGTGAATTTGTGATTCCCAAAGCAAAGATAGCGTTTTCTCGCAACAAAAAACCACAACAACAAGAAGAAAAAACAGTTTTTTTTTTTTTTTTTTTTCTCCCTTTTGTTTGTGACGGTTGGAAGAAGAAGAAGAGCTCTTGAGCAACAACAAAAGCTGGGTTGTTTGTAAGAAATTATAAACAGAAAGTGGTCGGTGAGAGAGAGAGAGAGAGTAGTAATATAAACTGAGGAATGTAAAAGCAGGTTTTGCATATATATACAATGAAGGTGGCGGTTTGGGTTTTGTTTCTATTGGTACTTTTTTTTTCTTTTTTTTGCTCTCTTTGTTTTCTCTGTAAAGTGTTATCGTCTTTACCGAACCCAGAAATTAAAAACAAATAACAATTAAAAAAAAAAACAGCAAAAATAAAAAGATGATAAAGAGTCCGAAGTTGAAGGGAAACACTGAGATCTTGTGCATTTACTGTGTTAATATCTTTGTCTTTGGACTAACCAGGCGACTGGTCCCCACTGGTTTTTTTTTTTTTTTTTTTTTTTACCGGTTT